AAAAACATGTTTTTTCGGGTTCTTTTCAGGTTGTTATTACGCTTAATAAAAAATATGAATTCGAAAAAAGCATTAATTAAATAAGCACACTTTCATACAGAGGATTTAGCATGAACACCGTACTTTACATGATATTCAAGCACAATTTTTAGCTATTACATCGTTATACATACATTTAAAAGACATTTCCTCCCATGAATTATCCAGCTCAGGCATCTTCTAAAATGCCGCGGTGCGAAATCTCCACTGGTGCTATGAGTTCTGGGATAGCCTCCGCCAGAAAGGATACATGGATGCATCCTCGGATTTCAACAGGAAGTAGGACGCATTCCTCGGCCGCATGATGAGGAGCCTTCGAATTGGGACAGTCCTCCGCGCGGGGCAATGACGTATGTGGCCGACAAATGCGCACTCATGAGGACCCAGCCCCTGAACTGAGACACAGCCTGAGCGTTGCTACAATGGCTAACAACCCAGACTGTAGAGAAGAATCTGATGTTTCTTTAGATTATTTTGAGTCTATCAGAGAGATGAAGAAGAGTCACAGTTCAAACAAAGTTGTTTCAACAAGCAAAAACCAGGGTGTTCCTTTTCTTAAAAAATCCCCTTTGATGTCACTTCCTGTTTCTCTTTGTTTGAGCCAAGTTCAAATAAAAGTCTGCCAATTATGCGATAAAATTGGTAAAATCACTTGTATTATGCCAAGTTTCTTAAATATAAAGATGTTTTCATTGACTTTTTGTATTCGAAGGATATGTATGTCACAGGCACTTTAAAGGGTTGGCAAAATGTGTGGAACAAATTGTTGTTGCTGCATGTGAAAATATGCTAAAACCACTTATACCAGGGCTGCTGCTATCCTGAATGTTGCAGCCACATGGTCCTCGTGATGTTTCCCATGTTTACCATGCTGGGAAAGTTAAAACCCAGGCCGTATTGTTATGGAAAATATATATCCTAGCTTATAAACTATTGTCCTCAAAGAGAGGGTCGTCAAACAACTAAAACGGGGAGAATGGTTGGAAGCCTTGTTAAGTGGGGAAAATTGACAAAAGCCTTAAAGTACAGCTGCACAGTATAACAAACGTTTATTGTCACTGCTGGATCAATGTACAAACAGTACTGATATAGCAAAAGCAATAAGTCAGAGACACAAGTTGCGTTTAATAATTAGATGGACCCTCTGACTACTTAATATGATTTTTTTTATGCCCAGTGTTGATTTTTAGAAATGACGGCAACTCTTATCCAATATACACTTTTTTTCCCTAATGTGAGCTTTCCATTTATAAAAATTTAACAATAATTACGTGATTTAAAAAGATGTACATGTCAATATATTTTGAAGAATTCTTGCACTTAAAGGGATCCCCGATTAGTTGTAACATTAAACTTTATTTGATAAACATTTATTTTAACTGTAAAATAAAGACTAAAAATACTGTAGGATGTTCAGTTTTTATCATTTTGAAAGTAAAAGTTTAAAATTATATTAAACAGATGGGGCCATTTTATTTACACGCAAAGCATTCTGGGTAAATGATGACATCAACTAGGTCATCGGTGCGAGGCTGCTAGC